AAGGAACTCCTAGACTCTTGGCCTTTCTCTAGGGACTAGAACTTCTCCAGGTCTCGGTGCAACCACCAAGCCCTCAGCACTAACAATCCAGGGACAGTGTGGTCTGAGCAGACCCTTGGCCAGCAAACAAGGACATCTGAGTGCAAGTCCCAGCTGGTCATGGGCTGCTAAGGATTTTAACCTTCTTTTTATACCTGGGAACTTCTCAACTGCGCCTACTTTGCTGGGGCAGGCAGCCTGCACTGGCCAGGAAGGTAAGGCAGTGTTGAATGATGTCTAGGGACAAACCATGGGATTTGACAACAGAAGAGGGTGGGGACAGATGCCTAAATGACTTGATTTTCCAGAAAGTTAAATGAGAGAAATTTAAAATTTCTCTGTGGTATTCTCTTTAGTCAGATTTTTGAAAAGTAGATTAATTATAAAAAAGTCACATGGTGACTCACGCCTGTAATCCCAATAGTTTAGGAGGCACCTGCTGACCTTTGCGCCGCAACACTCAATCCTGATATAGAAACATTCACAATTCAGATTGCTGTGTTGCCATGGCTGCACCAAAACAAAGTCTCCTCTAACTTACTCTCTCCCCGAAACTGAAGATCCATCATGCCCAATCCTCTATCCTGTAGCTTTCTGGATTTCTTGAAGCATTTCAATAATTTTCATTACAGGTGCTAAATTATTTTATTTAGCACAGGGTCAGAAACTACAGCCTGGGATTCCAATCTGCAGATACAGACCTGTGATCTAGATCTTTACATCCCATGAGTGAAGAACAGTATTTATGTTTTTGAGTGGCTGAAAAAAAAACTAAAAGAAGAATTGTATTTTGTGAAAAATTATATGAAATTGGATTTCACGGTTCATAAATAAACACGGCCATAGGTCCTCGTGTCGTTTACATTGCTATGGTGTTGCATTGTAGCTGCTTTTGTATGGCAGAATCGAATAGTTGTGACATAGACCACATGACTCACACAGCCTGCAATGTCTACTATCTGGCTCTGTTTAGGAAAAATTTAGTTTTTTAACTGACCCCTGTTTTAGGTAAAGGGCAGGTTACGGGATCACGCTATTTGCAAAATCACCCTGTTGTGGAATGAATGTTGTATCTTCCTAAATTTCATATTGTTGAAGCCCTGATCCCAGTGTGGTGGTACTTGGAGGTGGGTATTTTGGGAGGTAATTAGGTTTAGATGAGGTCATGAGAGAGGCCCTTATGATGGGATTAGTGTTCTTGGAAGAAGAGGAAGAGAGACTAGAGTGCACATCCTGCTGTAAGGACACAGCAAGAAGGGGCCACCTGCAAGCCAGGAAGAGAGCCCTCACCAGCAGCCAAATCTGCTGACACCTTAATTTTGGATTTCTCAGTCTTGAGAACTGTGATAAACACATTTCTGTAGTTTAAGTCACCCAGTCTGTGCTACTTTGTTGTAGCAGCCTGAGCAGACCTTACACATAGCTAGCTACACACACAAATCAAGGAAGAAAATACACCAAAATAGGGGTTATCTCTGGGCATTAAGGTTACACGAAATTATTTTAAAATTTTCACCAAATACATTAAACATAAAAGCTTAAAAAAAGAATATTAGTGACATCAGAAAAATAAGATGTTAGTATTTACTCTGTCTTACTGTAGGCCAGACACTGTTAGTGGTTGACATGCTTCCTTTCACCTGGTCCCCATTCCACCCCTATGCACAGGCTCCACTGTAACCCTGTTCTACAGATGAAGAAAGGAAGACTCAAGGAATTTAAGTAACTTGTCCAGGTCACTCTGCTAGAAAGGAACACTTTGTGTATTTATGGTGGAAATACACTTCAGAAGTGACAGGGAATTGGGCTGAAAATAGGGATTGGCTTTGGAAGAGTTTTATCTGAATTCATGGGAGACTAATCCTAGCAGATAATGAAGATGATGGGATGCTTAAGATATCCTCATGTCTAATCTACCTCACCAGATTGCTGTGGAAATGAGATAGAAGGCATTTAGAAGTACCTGGAAAATGGTAGAGCACTGTACTAATGGAGGTTGGGTGTTGAGAAACTTGTCAATATCTCACTTTCATTAGGCTGACTTCCCCACTTCTTCCATCAAACCTTTCTTGAAGTAGAAACAACATAAATGTCCAAGAAGAGAGGACTGGTTGACTAAACTATGGTGCCTCCACACAACGGAACACTATGCAACAATTAAAGAACCAGGCGATAATCACCCTGTTGCTGTATTTTTAGCGTTGTGGTTTAGAGGCTGTTCTGTGTAGTATAAAGCAAATGAGTAATTATGCTATCATCCACAGTGCCCTTGAAAGTCAGGATTCTCAGGGTAGAGAAAAGAGGCACAGATGTAAGAAACGAGTGGTTAAATAAAATCCCCTGTAGGTCAGAATTTGAATTAAAAGTATCAGTATGAACTCATGATGTATTTTTATTATAAACAACACCACATTTCCTAGCTCTGTCAACTGAAAAGGGCTAGACATGATAAACTATCTAGGAACAATGAAACACTCTTAAGTGCCTAGATTTTAGTCTCTAAATACCATTTGCCACTAAGAGGAATCAGGGGTCCTTGGAGAAATGGCTTATTCTGGGTAAGGGCAAAGACTGGAATATCTTAGCTTTCTTGCTATTTGGATGACATCAAAGATCACTAGGGCTGTGCCAGAAAGAGCCAACTGGCCAGAGATGGCAAAATCCAAGCATCAATAAAAATAATAAGCAAACAGATTAAAACCTAGCACATATGTAGAAACCCATGAGTTCACAAAGATAGTAAAATCAAAACAGTAGACCCTAATGTTTACCATAGGAAGATAACAGTAAACCACTCATTTTGAAAACTGGAAAATGAAGGGAGAGAATCAAACATTTATCCTGCTTTTCTTATGTGAATTGTACTGCTAGTTAATCCCATAGTGGTGGAGGGAAGTTTCTCTTTATGAAAGTATTCCAGCTAATAAGTGAAGAAAGAATAAAATTAGTATGTCATCATTTTGTAACCTCTAATTAACTAATGGATATAAGTGATAGACATCAATATCTGCAAAAAGGGCAAAAAGAGAGGTGGCTAGACATGTGCCTTCTGATAGGAGAGCACCACACAATCTATGAAGTAGTTTTGTCCATAAAAATCAAGACTAAATCTGATTAAATATCTAAAAAAACTAATTTATAGGAAAGAGAGATGATAGAAGAACATTCTAAATAGCACCACAGGGCTGCAATCAGAAAAATCCAGAGCTTGGAACTCTTTATAGGACAAAGGATCTAATTCCTTCATCAAATACATTGCAAGGGGATGTGAGAAGGGGAGGGAGATAAAGGATATTGTGGCAATGTTAAAACAAAAGGATCCTTTTTGTAAGAGATACATATCTAAGTTTACAGATGAAATGCTGCAATATCTTGGATTTATTTTAAAGTAACTTGGTGGCAGGTGAAAAAGTAGGCGGGGTTAGAGATAAAGCAAGATCAGACGTGTACTGATGATTTTTACAGCTGGATGAGGGTCTATAAAGGTTTGCTGTTTTGCTGTTTCCACTTTTCCAAGTGTTTAAAAGTTTTCATAATAGAAAATTAAAATAAATCCCTCCTATGTCATGCTTGGAGTGGTAACACTGTGCTAGATGCATCAAGGTTCTCACCAGTATCACTCTTCTTGTGTTTCATAAATATTGGAGCTTTGAGCTTCAGCTCGTTCATGCAGGAAACCCCCACGGAATTTCCCTGTCACTCTCCCCTCTGGCCATGTCAATATGGTGCTTCAAAGTATATGTACATACACATAAGCAAAAATATCTCAGCAAAGAGCTCTCATGACTCAAACATTCTGCTTTGAAGCTGCAAGGGGTATATGAAGGAGTCATGATTTCATGATTGGCACAGGCATTCAATGGAGCTCGTGACCAGGGGAGAGAAGAAGATAGTTATGGTGTTGAGGCTGGTAGGTGTTTTCATCTTGAAGTTCTGAGCAAATGACAAGGCAAATCCGGATGATAAGCGACACTGTGTTCTCACCCCATTATTTGCATTGGTGCAGCTACACTGAGTTTCCTAAATCAGATAATAATGTCTGCAAGAGAGCAAACTACCCAAATTCTTTACCGGGGGCCCTAGATGTGAGAGTCGTAAGTGGGGTCAAGGAGATAAGCAAAATCTTAAGCCCTGTCCCTGGGTGTGGGATGGTGACAGGAAATAGAAATTAGGGGCCAGGAAGTAAGAAACCAACCCAATGCTTATTTTTAGAAATGGCACCTCCCAGCCATCAAAATTTAGTCTGCTGGTTAGGGTGGTTCCTGTTTCTTTAGCCAGCATCATCAGCATCTGTGAGCATCCTAATTGTGTCCTACAGGGTTGGGAGTCCCTCCTGCAGGCTTGCTTTAACCCAGGGTTCACCCATTTGGGGCACTTTTCGCACTGTTGCAGTTGCCCATTTACTTGTCTGTCTCCCACACTTGCTGGTAACCTCGCTGAGAACGGGCTTTTGCCTGTTCTTTGTGGTATCTTATCACATAGCGCAGAGCCTGGAATATAGATGTGCTTAAAAAATATTCACTGCAGAGCTGGAGATCACTGCGGAAGCAGTGTAGAGAGGTGGTTATCAGTGTGGGCTTCAGAGGTAGACAGATGTGGGTTTGACTCATGGCCCTGCCAACTCACTACACCCACTTCCCCAGTGCTGTGTTCTGGTTTCCAGATTCTACCACTGACTTATTACAAGGCTTCAGATTTTGTAACACACTTTGAGGCTTTCCTGGAACAAATAAAGCATATAACTGCACATTTTGGTTTCTAGGTAATATCGTAACTCCTCTAGGAAAATGATCCTGGGATTTTGCTGTGCACCTATCTGAAATGATTTCCACTGATGAACTTAAAAATAACCAAATATGAAATTTTAACTACCCACAATGCCTTGAACTTGTGTTAATAGGTCAGGCAATGAAGTGGACAAATGAACACCTTATGACAACCACTTGAGTAGATAAGCAAACCTGGGCGTCTTCAAATGTATATCTCCCTCCATCTTTGACATTTTGACTGGTTATCTCATAGCTGTGAGAATCCAGGTTGATTGCACTTGGAGCCCCTGGAGCCAGAAACTCTTGCCAGATTTCTTCTACCCTCTTGGCCACATCCTGTAGGGGTTGTTTCTTAAGATCTTGGACAGCCAGCCAGAACCTGAAGTGGGAGCAGAAACACAGTCAGTTCGAGAGGGCTCAGCATCAGGATGTTGCTGGAGATGGCCCCAGAGCTGATGTCCCATGAAATCCATTCTGCTGCATCTCTCAGCCTCCTCTGATGCCACTATGTGGGGCTGCAAAGACCATGGAGATTGCTGAAAATATCAAAGGTGTTCCTATTGTGCAGAACAGAAAAGAATTGCATATTAAAAGATCAATGTGCTTCTCGTTATCAAAACGAGATTTCTCTCCCTCTACATGAAGATTTCTCAACCTCAGCACTATTGCCACTTCAGGCTGGATAATTCTTTGTTGTTGAGGCTATTCTGTGTAATGTATGATGTTTAGCAGCAACCTTGGCCTCTACCCACTAGATGCCAATAGCAACCCCCCTTCCCAAGTTTTGACAACTAAAAATGTTTCAAAACATTGCCCCATGTCCCCTGGGAGATGAACTCATTCCTGGTTGAGAACACCTGTGCTACATACATGCCACCATGCAGACAGTGTGAGTCCCTTTGTCAAATCTAGTTGGGATCAATTGATGGCATCAACATGGAGGAAAGATCACAGAAGAGGCAGGATCCTGGAATCATAAAGACTATCTGTGCAAGAATAAACCAGCCATTCCTATTATAGATGGAGAAACTGAGCCAGTGCACATCAGTACTCAGCATGGTGCTTGGCAAATAGTAGGCGCTCAATACGTGGGTTTCAGAGTGAAGATGGGCGCATCTGGAAAATTGCTGAAGAGGCATACCATGAAAATTTCTCTGCAGAATGGTTCTCCTTCTGCAGAGGGAAAGAGAAAAATCTGCTCACTTCCATATTTGCCTCTGTTTAATCCCTCAGCATCCACATGGGAGCAGGGAGCTCTTTTCTGCTGAGAGCAGCAGCAGCCAGAGCCAAAGCTTGGACAACAGCTACTGGGTCTTGAGGATGGTTCCCATGGCAGCCTTGCAGCAGGATCCAGGTCTGGTTGTCATATCCTTTGCCCTGTGAACGGACAGGCCAGCTCCCCCATCAGTGAGTAAGAGAGTAGGTCCTGTGCTGGTTCCCACAGCAGTGGGAATCCCAGGTAGTCTAGTCAACAGAAAGGGAGGGACAAGCAAAGTTGAACCACGACATGGTGGAAAGTGCGGACAGTGCATTCAATCTGTCATCAAATTTCATCCAAAGTAAGATGTACTTGGGTTGTGTGTGTGTGTGTGTGTGTGTGTGTGTGTGTGTGTGTTAGGGGGCAGGGGTGGTTAAACATGTTTTTCTGTTGCTGTTCAGAGAAATGTCTTTGGAGCCAAGTGCATGGCCCAAAGGTGCCACTCAGTGGCAAACTGGAGTAATGCAACCCCATTTCTGCAAGGCGAGCAGACTCTGTGTGTGTGTGTGTGTGTGTGTGAGTGTGTGTGTGTCTGTGTGTGTGTCCCCAAATGCTGGGGTCCAACTCTTCTCCTGATTTGCCATTTTTTGCCATTTAGGATTCTGATGATATCCTTAAAGTGACCCCTCAGTGACCCTGCAGAGCCAAGCGTAAGGCAGAGAAGGCTTCACGGCTTCCATCAGATCGGGAAGCAGGCTCTGCCCTCATCCTGTCCATGCTGTATTTTGCCTTGGTGTGCCTTTCTGGGTGCCTCTCGCTTCATCTCTGAGACGGGCACCGAGTGGATGGAGGGATATGTGGCACGGCTCTGGAAAACTTGCTATCCAGACTTAACTCAGAAATGCTTTCAGGTCCTGTGACGGGGAGCTGAGGAAGGGTCAGTGTGGCGGCCACAGGCTCAGTGCTGGCTCAGCGTGATCCTTCGGATTCCAGCCCTCTCTCTGCAGGTGGCCCAGGCAGATACTACTGCCCAGCTCTTGCTGCTGCCATCTGGCGTCCCCTGCCCTTCTGCAGCTCTCTGACAGCCACAAGTCCTGGGTGCTCAGGTCCTTCTGGCTTCTGGGTGAGAGGAAAGTAGTCGTGTTCCTTTATCCCGAGTCCAGAGATGGTGGGGAAGGAAGGGCTTGAAAGGAGCTGTTCCCCTGCCTCATTGTTCAGGCGGGCCCTTGACTCTCAAGCTGGGGCACGGGTCTCCTCCATCTCCCTTGCCTCCATCTCCCTTGCCTGCCCTAGGTTCCGCAGGGCCCTCTGTCCACTCTCTCAGGCCTGCCGTGAAAAGAAGGAAGTGGCTGGGAGGCTTGCAGGTGAAAACGGCCATCTGCTGACAAGAGCACCTACAAGGCTTTCTCTGCCTGGAAGGCCACGTCTGACCAGTAGGTGAAAGATGCAGGAACCTGGCTCTAAAGGAAGAAGCCAGTGCTGGTTTTTCCAAGGACCAGAAGGGGTCAAGTGTCCAGAGACGAAGTCAGTGAGTGCTCCTCAGCCGCATGCTGGGCAGACAGGAGAACCAGGTTCACACAGGGAGGCCGCCTGGGCTGAATCCCTGGCTGGAAGTAACCTTCTGGGTCAGCGTCTTCCCATGCCCCCGGCCCCTGCAACTCCTCACACAAATGGATGACACCTGGGTGATTTCCTGCCCCCTCAATCAATGCCACATGGGAGGTCACCTTCTGTCATCTCTGTCAGCACTGAGGAGGAGCTGTGAGCCCCTCTGGGAAGGCCCTGAGGACCCCGGGAGCTCTGCACACTCTCTGCGGTTCCTGAGGACTCAGGGTCCTTTTTGCAGGATGATTTGGGGGCCACATGAAAATGCACATCACTCAGCTGGATACAGAGATGTCCCGGAGCTGATGGAAATACAAATTTCAGAATCATTTTTTTTGGTGGAGGAGACAGGATCTCACTTTGTCGCCCAAACTGGAGTGCAGTGGCTCCATCTTGGCTCACTGCAACCTCTGCCTCTCAGGTTCAAGCAATTCTCCTGTGTCAGCCTCCTGAGTAGCTGGGATTACAGGGGCATGTGACCATGCTCAGCTAATTTTTGCATTTTTAGCAGAGATGGGGTTTCACCATGTTGGCTGGTCTGGTCTTGAACTCCTGGCCTGAAGTAATCTGCCTGCCTTAGCCTCCCAAAATGCTGGGATGATAGGCATGAGCCATTGCACCAGGTCCCAGAATCAAATTAATAAACTTTTATGTAAAAATAAAAAGGTTTTCTTTGTCACATAAAACCAAGAATTTTTTTAAGTACAAGTGAAAACAACAGGCATGCTGGAGGAAGATGAAGAGGAGGGGAAAGAAAAGGAGGGAAGGAGAGGGAAAGGGGAAGAAGGCGGGGCGGGGTATGGGGTAACATTCTTTAGACAGCAGTTTTCTCCCCTGCACACACTGTGGACTCTTCCCTGCCTTCTGTCTGCCTTGGAGTCGACCTGCCTTGTTTCTCTCAGGCAACAGCAAAACTGCTGTCACAACAGCTTCCTGACGTCCCGTATGTGTTTACCATCGCTGGTTTCAAGGAACCTTTGTGTGAATTTGAAATTCAGAACAGGCTTTGGTTAGTGTTGGCCATCTTCGAGCCCCACAGGCCTGAGCCGGGAACTCAGAACCCAGGCTGCCCAGGCCACACTTCCCCCTGCAGAGAGCCACAGCAGCTCCTCTCTGCACATCTGCTGTCCATGGGAGGCCCACTGAGGCTTTGGAAGCTTCTGCTCTTATCAAAAACCTGCAGGTACCGCTCCTCCCCGAGGGCAGTGGCAGGGAGTGAAATGCCGGTAGCCGCATGAAATCCACCCATCCTGTACTAAGCCTCCATGGCTTGCAGCAGAAGGGCTGTTGTGACTGGCAGGACACAAGGACTGGTATCTGGGAGACCACCTGTCCTGCCTCGTCCCTGGTCCCTGCCAATTGTCATAGCAGCAGTGGGGAGGCAGCCCCTGTGCAGGCATTTGATCTGTGTTCATGACTTAGAAATGCTGGCGGGGAAACTAGCTTTTGGAGTGAGACAGCCTGGGCTCAGATACCACTGGGGCGAAGCCGTGGAGAACAGGACTTGGGGGACCATCTAGGGGCAGCCCCAGCGGGAGGCTCCTTTCTCCTTAGAGGCTTTCAAGGAAGAGGATTTTCTCAAGGCTGGCTGGGTAAGACAAACCATTTGGCCCTTGATCATTCTCCATCCTACCAGGAGGTCTGGGCAGCCCCTTAGTTACCAGTTAACTTTTCATAAACTAGAATTTTCATGGGTTAGAAAATACAGCTTTTGGTTCGTTCCCAGAGAAAAAGCAAACTCCAGGAGAGAAGAAAGTGTTTCTGTGCCCTCTGCTGGTCAACCGGAGATGTAGGAAGCAGGGCTTAAACTTGGTTTAGTTCCTGGCGGGGCTGAAATTCCCGGGTGCCTACGTAAGTAAGTAACCACCCCCAGCACCACGGAAGCTGAGTCCTGTTCACTGGGCAGTGGCTGAAACACTGCAGATGGTTGTGGTGTCGTGGAAGTCACCTCTGTTCCTATTAATCATGGGTTTGGTAAGTGGTGGCTCCTGCTGGGCCTAGTGAACCTTCTGAGGTCTTCCTAGGACTTAGGGCAACTGCCAGAGACGAGAGCTCTCCAGACGAACCTGGCACCCCACTGTGTTCCCTTTTTAATTGCTTCTCCCTTCAGCCGACACTGTGTGGAACTCGGATCATCAATCTGCAGGTTAGAAGAACAACTACCTTCTCTCAGGAGATGTTACAGCTCATAAAAAATGTACGGGGGACACTCTTTGCTGTGGGTTTTGATTTTTAACTCATTCTGTGCCATGCAGCAGAGGGTGTCAAGCCAGGGAGGACAAAGATTTGTGTAGGAGAGATGTGGGAGAGGGCGAAAAGATGGCAAGAAGAGACTGTCTTTATTCTGGGAAAATGCACAAAGCAGGCAGAAGGATGAGGCCAAGAAACGGAGTGGAGCTCCCTGCATCAAAGCTGTGAGGCCCCTGCCTTGTGGACAGAAGCCATGTGCATTCCCAAGGCGCTCAGCAAACAGCTGTCTGTGGGTCCAGTCAGTGCAAAGGGAGCCTGCAGCTAGCTCAGGGTAGGTTAGAAAAGGAGGAAAAGACCCTGCCACAGGGAGCTCACAGCTTCAGCAAAATGCACTGCTGGTCATACCCCACCCAGTCCATGGAGATGACGCCCCCATCCTCATCTCACAGACCCAACCAGAAGAAATTGATCAAAGGGGACGCCAACTTCTATTACATCATCATAGAAATCATTCCTTAAAGGATCCAGGGTGACACTTTGGGGCTCCTCCATTCCACATTCTGAAGCTCTGATACCAATTCAGCTGCTTGGCTACTTAACTGGCACCCCATGGATTGTGCAAAAATGTTATGATCTAAGCAGCCCTTTCACTGGAGAGATGAGAGGGAGCACAGGAGGACAGAGGAAGTGATGAAGCACTTTGTAATCTACCCAGGTGAGTTCTGGTCAGGCTTTTCCCTGCCATGCTCCAATGCCAGTGGCCTGGGCCCCTCACCAATCCCGCGGAGAAGGAACGACGCCAGCGTGGCCAACGTGCCAGGTTGGCAGGATCCTCAAGTTGTGCCATATTGCACAACTCCCAGGGGCCTCCATGGCATGGGCCACAGTGGAGGTGCATCTCTACGGCTGTGCCTGGCTGCCCTGATATTTATTCAGTCAGCTCTGAATCTGCAGGCCCTGTGCCATGGTTGGTGCCAAGCTGATATCTGCAGCTGAAGGAATGAACACAAAGGAATGGGGAAGAGGCTGCCCTGTGACGGGTGACAGAAGAGTCCTACAGTTATGTGATTTACAGCTGAGCTTCTCTCCCACCCACCATGTATCCAGTTATGCTGAATATCATAAAAATGGAATTTGGGCATCCAGAGAGGATTTTAGAGGCTCTTGGCTATCCTCTTCCTCCCTGCTATTCTATTTTCCTTACTCCCTTTCCTGTCATGGAGCAGGGGTGACCCTCTGAAGTCTGGATTTCTGCATGCTGGGGGTGTGGCTTGGGCTCTGGTACATGAACACATGCTCACATGCATGCTTTCACCCAAGATTAAATGTAGCCCTCCTGGCACGGGGGAAGGAGCTGGCAGAGGCGCAGGAGGTGATGGCAGGAAGAAGCACTGAACACCTGCCAGGGACACACTCCTTGGTGCACTCTGGGTTTTAAGTGTGATGCATAATTTGTGAAATGAGTCTGAACTGATATGTGGTTCTGGTTACATGCAGGGCTTTCCGGAATGAATGCTCTGACCAGGCAAGGGGGCAGCTGAGCCAGTGGATGCTCCTGGGACCCTCACAATGACCAAACTCTGGTTCATTCTTCAAGCTCACTGCAACAGTGCACGCAGCAGAGGGTCCTGAGGCTACTTGTGGGCTTAGAGATAGTTAGGTAAAGGGAGCCTCTATACCACTCCATCTTGCAGACCCAAGGGGAACAGGTAAGAAGGGGAGATGAGAAGGACTCCCAGGGGTGGCTCATAGGGATCATGGAGGGGGTGGAAACTGGGACTGAGCTGGCTACACAAAGAGGCCACCTCGGTCCATCAAGCTGGTCACAAACAGCTTTCCTTCCTATACCCGGGAAGCTAGTCTGACCACCACCCTAGTGAAGAGTATTAGAAATCAAACCTTCTGTTACAAATACTTCATTAGGCATTGAAGTGAAGCTCTGAGATGTGTTTGGAATCATGCCTCAGCATAAGGAAAGGCTCTTGTATAATAACCCAAAATAAGATACTTAGCCTTATCTGGTTTATAACAGACACGTGGATGCCTAGAACAGCATGCTCCATACAGCTAGTCGGCATCTACCTGTCCTCCCAGGACCTTACGCAGTGGGAGAGGCCCATCGGCCACCCCTTTTCTCATTTGGTCCTCCAGCTTGGAATATTCTCTCTCCTTCTTCTTTGTCTACTATTATCCTGTGCACTCTTCAAAGCCCAGCTTATGATTTAACCACTTCAGCTTTGATTCTTCTCCTTTAAATGCTTTCAAAATGGTTCTTAGAGTTTACACTCATTTATAGACATTCAATGATTCAATCATTTCTTGTGTTTTTTCCTCAAGGACCTACAAGGTCGTTGCAGGCAAAAATCACACATCTTGACTCGTGTCTCTCAGCAGACTCTCACACGGCTTGATACAGCACAGGTGTAGCATAAATATCACTTGATTGACGTATGGGACCGAGATGGTCTCACTTGAAATAAGTGCATGGATGTTGCACATTAACTTTGGAGGGGTAGTCCTTTGCCTGCAGTACATGCTCTGAGTTTTTTTTTTTTTTTTTTTTTGAGATGGAGTCTTGCTCTATTGTCCAGGCTGTAGTGCAGTGGCCAGAACTTGGCTCACTGCAAGCTCCGCCTCCCGGGTTTAAGCCATTCTCCTGCTTCAGCCTCCCGACTAGCTGGGACTACAGGCGCCCGCCACTTTGCCTGGCTAGTTTTTTGTATTTTTTAGTAGAGACGGTGAGTTTTTAAAGTAATACAATATTTAAACATTATTAAGACATCTTTAAAGAAAACAGCACTGGAAGACGGGTGTTACTCTACTATATAAACCAGAACCTGGTACAAAGAAAAAAGAAAGAGAGAGATTCCATCTTACCCATTAAGAAGTCACCAGTTTGCTAAGATCACTAGGTAAGTCTCAGATAAGTCACATTTTCTGCAGATTTCTGATTCTTCATCTAATACCATAAAAGTCTAAATAAACAAGTTCCCAAATTTTTTGTGATCAAGGAGACTTTTCCTTTTAATTTACCCCCTTTTCTTCCTCTCATATAGGACCTGAGGTTTTGAATATTTTATTTTTTTCTCCTATTAAACAGTAATTATTAATACATTTCCCTCATCAGGTATTATAGACCAATAGGAACAATCAGGTGTTCTCACTGGCATCAGATAATCAGAGTAACCACTATTTGGAGTTGACAGAAGTCATTCTCAAAGAAAAAAACATGTTTTTATTAGCTGCTACAGTTACATCTCCAGTTATCGAGTGATATTTACTTTGCTCTTTGAAATTCTGAAATGAGCCCCCTGACTCCTCCCTCTTCTGTTTAGCTTCTCAGATATTCAGGACCCCAGACTGGGGAGTTTTGAGGAGATAGCCTCTGAGGTGCCTCTGTACTCTGAAGCTCCCTGGTTCTATGGCCGTACTTAACGAATGATGTTGTCAAGTCCGTTCAACTATTTAATTATTATTGAAGACTTATTTCCAATTAGTTGAACAAAGGTCACATAGACTTGAACTGAAGTATGCTGGTGTTAGTAGGTGCTATTATGGTGGTGACAGAGTTGCATATTTTAATTTGTTCTTCTCTATTTCAACCTCAGCCAGATTAGCTGGCATTTGAATTTGAACCCTGATAATGTTTCATTGAGAAAGAGAGATGGAGAGACGGATTATGCACATTTCTTCACACACGTTCCGCACACAGCTCAAACTTAGAGAGATTTACCTGAGGTTTTCTGAACTGAATTCGGACTCCAGGAATCGTAGAAACTGGTCCCGCCCCACCTGGTCCTTCAATATCTCATCGAAAGAGAAGCCCCATCTTTTTACTCGCTGTTGGCTGGGCTCTTTGCTTTGGGGTGAAGGAAGAAGGTTTAAAAAAGATCAATACCAGAGAAAAGCTTGTGTCAAATCTGTTTTGCAGTCACTCACCAAAAGGAAACATCTCATATTTAAGGGGCAGATTGTACAAAAGCTGCACAAATTTCAAATGCAGACTTTGGTACACCAACAGTAACCAATGGTGAACAGTTTCTTTAAGGAGGCATGTTAAGTGATGATCACCGGCATTACCTTCAAATGGCTGCTGTCTACCATGCCATTGATTAAGCTCCCTGGACCGTTCCTAGCAATTATGGACCCACCTTTTGACTCTGTAATTTTTTCACTAGTACTATAACCAGGATGCTTCATGGACCCAATCTTTCATCAAAACACATTATCCCCCACCTCCCATCCCTTCCTCAATCCTCAGGGGAGAAATTAGGGTCCTGTTTCGAGCCAAGTGATGTACAACTGGTCAGAAATGTATTGACACATCCAGAATAAAGCATATTCTCTTGTCAGAAGCAGAATGTTACATGCATTTATTACCAACCATGTACGGTGCTTACTGTGTGCTAGACACTGTCTCAAGTGTTTGAAATCTGTTAACTCACTGAGTCCTCACAACTACTCTGTGAAAAATGTACTGGTATTATTCCCATTTTCCAGATAGGGAAAGTGAGGCCTCATGATAGTTTGCCTAAGGACACACAGCTAGGAAGTCATGAAGTCCAGAATCAAATCTAGACAGCAAGGCTCCAGGGGGCATTCAGTTTTTTTCTTTTTCTTTTTCTTTTTTGAGATGGAGTCTCACTCTGTCGCCCAGGCTAGAGTGCAGTGGCGTGATCGCGGCTCGCTGCAACCTCCATCCCCTGGGTTCAAGCAATTCTCCTGCCTCAGCCTCCTGAGTGGCTGGGACTACAGGCGTGTACCACTACGTCTGGTTAATTTTTTTGTATTTTTAGTAGAGATAGGGTTTCACTGTGTTAGCCAGGATGGTCTTGATCTCCTGACCCCGTGACCACTCGCCTCAGCCTCCCAAAGTGCTGGGATTACAGGTGTGAGCCACTGCACCCAGCCCCAGTTCTTAATTCTGCTATGCTGCATAGCTCATCTTTGCTATGCTGTCTCACATTCAGACTAAAGTATGGGAACTGTTCTAATTCTTCTGGTGATGGACAATAAGAATATTTCCTTCAGCTTCTGTCTTTCCATTTAAAGTCCACTTGCTGTATTTATTTTGTTGGCCCTTGAAACTGCAGTAAGGTCCTAACTCACAAGTCACACGCTGCAACTATTCAAGCTTCCTATTCAACGCCTATTCCTAACGCTTCCCTATTCAAGCTGTGGTCTGTGAACCAGAAGAAGAACCATAGGCCCCACCTGCACCTGCTAAATCATAACCTACAGTTCAACAAGAGCCCAGGTGATTTACGTCCACATTACAACTTGGGAAACATTGGTCTGGCAATACTCATTTTTCCTCTTTTAAAAAATAGACGCATATATTTTATTATTTCTAACAGACAGTAAGAGATTAAATCATGTTTCCTCTTATTATGGAGCTGACATATTCTCAATACTTAGAAAACTGCACTTAGTAAAAAAAAAAAAAGAGAGAGAGCTGTGTGTGGGAAAGCTTGGAAAAGCAAATAACTGTAGACTGGCACTGTCCAGTATAATTTCCTGCGATGATGAAAATATTTCATAATTGTGCTCTCCAATATGGCAGCCACTAGCCCCATGTGGCTACTGGGCAGTTGAAAAGTGGCTAGTGTGACTGATGAACTGAATTTCAAATTGCATTTAATTTTAAATAATTCAAATTTAAATTTAAATAGCTACATGTGGCTACTGGCTACTATATTGGTATGCAGCTCTAGATATACCCCATCCAAACCCAACTACTTCTGCACCAACACACATAATCAGCAACAGCAGTATCTTCTAATTACAACGATGACGACCAATAGATCATGAACTTGGGGGTCAGGGAGCCTCTGGCATGCAACTCTGCATTTCCAGACATAGTCCAATAGGGTCATGGTGGTAGACTAACCCTATCAGGTCAAACAATGGGAGATTCCATGCAAGATCTCTTCCAAAGCACCAGGCTAGGCATGAAGACAAATCCTGGATTCTCTCAAACGCAAGTCACAGACCTAATCAAACTCAATAACTTTCAAGGGAACCAAAAATACTGTTTATGGAAGAATTCCCCTGGGGTTGAGGCTAGCAGCAAATTTAAGCAAATGTCTAGAGATTGCAGGACATTGTCTCTTTCTGCCAAGGTCATGCTGTAAAGGATGGACCCAACCATTTACTCTTTACCAGTGTTCTCCAGGGTTGGTACTAGTGGCAGCTGTACCTCGACTGAGGGCTGTGCCCATAGTAGCAGCTGTAGAAATTTACTCAGACTTTGTAGTGACTGCCTCATGGATGCACACTCACCACCAGTGTCACCCCTTTCTGGTACCCAGGCGGTGAGTCCACATTCGTTCCACCAGATTCCTTGGTGGTGGCAAGAGTGGGAGAAAGGCAATTTTTGGAGTGGGCCAGAAATCTTGGGGTGTCACTGTAGATATAGAATCAGAGGGAGGCTTAGGACAGAAGTTGGGGGTATCTGGAAAATTGCAAGGTCACAATTCAGCAGAAATAAGTGGGTCTAGAGAGCCAGGGTACCCTGATGTATTAGTTTCTTAGGATTGCCATAACAAAGGACTAACAAACTGGGTGGCTTAAAAGAGCAGAAATTCATTCTCTCACCGTTCTGGAAGCTAGACATCCCAAATCAAGGTGTTGACAAGGCCATGCTCTCTTGGAAGGCTTTAGGGGAGAACCAACTTCACGACTTTTCCTTAGCCTCTGATGTCGGCATTCTTCAGCCTGCAGATGCATCACTGCACTCTCTCCTACTGTGTTTCTGTGTCTCCACATGGTGTTTGCTCTGTATGTGTCTGTGTCTCTGCTTTCTCTTCTTACAAAGTCGTAAGTCATATTGGATTAGAGGCCCACCCTATTCAAGTATGACCTCATCTTAACTACCTGCATCTGCAACAACTCAATTTCCAAATAAGTCAGATTCTGAGGTTCTGGGAAAGACATGAATTTTTAGATGATACAATGTAACCATGTATCCTTGGCTTCCCTCAACTCTCCATTATTCACAGTCGTATTTCTACAACGGGATGATACACATTTCTTCCTTGTTTTCCTAGTACGATTTCACCACTGGGAGTCTGTTCTATTAAAAGCTTCCTGGATACAACTTCCCTATACATATCTCTTCTGTATCGCTTGAGCATTCCCAGTATCATCCACTTTAAGGTTTAAGAAAAGACTTGAACATGTTGCTACCACTGAATGGTCTCTTGTGGTTATAACATAATTCTGCAAATTAAAATATCTTTCAACATCCAACTCCAGGTGAGTGGTACAGTAACTGTCTCTTAGCCAAATTCAAGCCAACAATCCACAGCAGCACAGCCTCTTTACAACCATTATGTAGAGATATGTCCTTGGGACAAATTCTCTAGTAGAGTTTTGTGTCAGCATTTGGGTTTTCAAGAGTTTGCACTGTCTTTCCAGCTATCTTTTTAGCTCTTTGAGGTCAGGGACCATATCTCATGTGTCTTTGTACTGAGCATAGGACTTTTCACATGGCAAGTGTTCAGCCCTAAAATGAAATCAATTTAGAAATGTGTATAGTGATGTGGGTGAAGTGTCCTTATCCTGACAGTGTTTTCTAATCGCTAGCTGGATGCCTTTTTCTAGCTCTTACTTGTCCTCTGTGTCTCGTCATTCTCACCAAGTTCCTGCCTCCCACTGGACAACCCAAACCAACACATAGCAAAAGACAGGTGGCTCTCCAAGAGTATCTGTCTTTCATTCCTGCTGATCCGCCAGCTAGAGATGGAAGAAAGCTGCCAAACTGAGGACAAGAAAGCCAAATTCAAAGGAAGCAACAGTCTATATCAATGCTCATTTCTGCAGGAGCGTCATAGTGCTAGGCATGGTGTAAGGAGCTTTCTTTACAGTGCCCCATTTAAATCTTAATATAAGCCAGGGAGACTGACAATAGTATTTAAACATCCAGAGTTCAAAAGAGGTCAGATTGTCCAAGGCCACACAGCTGGTAGGTGGCAGTCTGGAAGTGGATCCCAGGACTGCCTGTCTCCAAAGCCTATTCTTTGTTTCTACTCTGTTCCCTTGCCTTCTACTGCATTTGCCTCATTCATCATCTAAACAAAGACTTGGGGAAGATATGAGCTATCTTCAAAACACTTAAGAATTATGTATAGGACTAAATGTTTGTGTCCCTCTCCAAATTAATATGTTGAAATCTTGATCCACAATGCGATGGTATTAGGAGGCAGGATATTTGGGAGGCGATCTGGTCATGAGTGGGATTAGTACTCTATAAGAGAACCAGAGAGAGCTCTCTTTCCCTTCTGTCATGTGAAGACACAGCAGGAAGACAGCCATCTATGAACTGGAAAGCAGATCCTTACCAGATATTGAATTTGCCAGCACCCTGATCTTGGATTTTCTAGCTCCAGAACTGTGAGAAATAAATTTCTGTTGTTTATAAGCCACACAGTCTGTAGTATTTTTATAATAGCAGCCCTAACAGACTAAGACAGAAATTCGTACTGCGAGTGGGATGCTGCTGTAATGAACAACCAAAAATGTGAACGTGGCTTACAGGGTAATGAATAGAAGCTGGAAGGTTTTGAGATATATGTTAGAAAAAGCCTTAATTGGCTGAGTGTGGTGGCTCACACCTGTAATCCCAGCACTTTGTGAGGCCAGGGCAGGCGGATCACAAGGTCAGAAGTTTAAGACCAGCCTGGCCAACATGGCAAAACACCATCTTTACTAAAAATACAAATATATATATATTTATTAGCTGGGCGTGGTGGTGGGCACCTGTAATCCCAGCTACTCGGGAGGCTGAGGCAGGATAATTACCTGAACCTGGGAGGCGGAGGTTGCAGTGAGCCAAGATCATGCCACTGCACTCCAGCT